TGTGGAGCAATCGGTGGAATGAAGATTGGCAGGGGAAACCGAAGTACTCGGAGAAAACCTGCCCCAGCGCCATTTTGTCCACCACAAATCCCACTTGACCAGACCCGGGATCGAACCCAGGCCGCCGCGGTGGAAAGCCAGAGACTAACCGCTTGAGCTATGGCGCGGCCCACTATCCCACATAACAGGCCGTGGTTGCCCATAGAGTTGTGGGATGTCGAGGCTCTGACTTTTCTAGACAGTCGGCTCACAGATGGAGGTGAGTTTGTCAGCCTTATGCACAGGCCGACAGCCATTTACCCCCACGAAGATTCCTGGTACTCATTTCTCTTAGAGGCTCAATCGACCCCAGGGTCATGTGAAGCTGGAAGTATTAGGTCAATTGAAAAATCCAATGACATCATCGGGAATCGAACCCGAGACCTTTCGGCTTGTAGCATAGTGCCCAACCAAGTATGCTACAGCGTCAGTTGCTCAGCTATTCAAGCATTTCCCAACATTTTATGTAATCCAAAGGTTCATTACTGTGTTCAGAAGAACCCTCCCCTGGTCTCAATCCTGATCTAGATGACATTCCATGTGCCAAATCTCATGTCAGTTCTCCATTGTTTATGTCATTCGAAAAAATCCATCAAACTTTGAGACTGTGTGTAGCATTTCACAACAAACTGTTTTCTTTATGGTGAGGAGTTGCTGAATTCACACCCAAACCCTGCTTATTCAGTATATTCTTAGCTATTCTTCATATGTGGTAGCTATCTCCTCCATTTGCAACCCAAGGACACGCCCTGCAGTGGTGGCAAGGGACCCACATAACAAGGGGCATATAAAATGAAACTTTTATTCTATCATGAGTCTCCACAGTTAATGAATATAGCAGAAGACAGTTTATGTTTCTTGAGGACAATATGTCATGGTCAATGCTTGAGTTCCTGTCAATCTGGCAAGAGCAAAAGCACAGAGCAAACATGATCCTTCTTTTAGAGGTACTGAGATAAGAGCAAAGATTATAAATACAATTTTCAGAGAAGTAAGAATCTGAAATGTTGATCACAGCGGCTGTGTGGATAAAGGCATTAACTGTCTGCACCCTCTCAAACACTGGGATTGTGGGATGAATCCTACTCAAGGCATGGATGTCTGTGTGCGTTTATTCTGTGTTTGTGTTGTTCTGTGTGTATTCGCTTAGTGGGTGGTGGAGTCCAACTTGGTCCACTTGGAACAGCGGCCACTGATTGGCCAATTGTACCTGCCCTGGGTGATTATGATGATGGAGAATTTGGTGGAATGAAGATTGGCAGGGGAAACCGAAGTACTCAGAGAAAACCCACCCCAGCGCCACTTTGTCCACCACAAATCCCACTTGACCAGACCCGGGATCCAACCCGGGCCGCCAGGGTGGGAAACCAGTGACTAACCACTTGAGCTATGGCGTGGCCCTGTTCTGCGTGTAACTAGAGGCCTTGCAAGAGGCTGATCCCCCATCTGATGAGTCCTACCAACTGTGTATAGGATTAAGAAACTGAAAAGCGGCCAATGCCCAACAAAGGGCTGTAGAGCCATAGATAGATAGTGCTTCCACACATATCAGCATATATCACTGCTTTGCTTAGAGGAATTGTCATGCCATCTTTATTTCCACTTCACAGAATTTGGTAACATTATAAATTACAAGCCCGGTTTGGCCCTGCAATGTTCTTCTTTGAAATACCATGTCCCACCAGAGAGAAGTCATGTTGTATGTGCTATTGAAGTGACTATGTGTAGGAAGTAAATATTACATCATGCTTGGTAGATCTAAATCTTACCACAAACATGCTTCATTTAGCTCTGTTGTACATTATAGGCTTAGGTCTATTACATCATATACTTTTTTTGGAAGTTATTTGACAACACTTTCAGTATCAAGACTCATGTAGTGTTGGATGGTAGGATGTAGATGAACTGGAAAGATTTGAAAAGAAGTGAGAATGGCCTAAATAAGGTACTAACCTGATACTTGACTTGTGTAACTGAGGAAAGCCATGAAAGAATTTTAGTCAGGATAGCTTATGTCCTGCCAGACATTATAAAAGATCACCTCCTGAATACAATCTGAGAATTTTAGTGCTAGAAGAACTTGTTCAGCTACATCATATCAAGCCATGAATACCATAAACAGTGATAACATGCATGTCCAGGATATAACAATAAACTGTTCAGTGAACTGCCAGATCTATCCAAAGTGAATTTGTGATATTTGAGGTTCTCATGGCAGTGAACATCAATATTAGGATTTCCTTGTGTGTGGTACTATGTAGTCTTGTAGAGAAATACCAGTGTTTTATAGAACCTGTCAACCAAACTACATGGTGTTACAGCCCTGAAGGCTATAATCTTGATACATGATTTGGTTATGCAGCATCAACTTCGACGGCACTGTTAGAGTAACACTGTTCACTCTTCACTGTTCTTACAATTTGAAGTTTGTCCTTAGCCCAACTTTGTCGTTCACCTGAAGCAAACACACCGTAGATTATTGCACCCACAAGGTAGATGGCACTTGCTATGTAGAACACAATCTGCCACTCTGACGCTTGCTGTACAAAACACAAATAATTACCATTAAATGGTTGAAGTGATGAAGTGCAGTAATGCATCATCTCTGCTCATATTGCAATGTTTTGAGTACTACTGTGCTACAACGGTAGAATAGTCACTGAATCTGAGAAAATCTAATTTGTGCAATCAACAGTTAGCCTGGTAAAGTACTCAGAAAGTCAAATACCAGTAATATCAGAGCCAATCATTTGAAATGATCTACAGCCAATTCAGTTCATTTGACCTCATAAGATCTTTCCCTAAGATCTTTCTTCATTTTAATATGACACCCCCATCCCATCCTCAATCTTTCAAGAACTCAGATGCTCACCTTATTTTGCACAATGTAACCTGTGATGACTGGACTGATAATACCAGGCAATGTGGCCACAGTATTAGACAGACCCATCAGCACACTGGCATGTTGGGGGGCTATGTCCAGGTGATTCACACTGAAATGTAAATTAAAACACAGGTCTTAATTCTGTGATTAAAATTTATGTAGTTGTGTGTGCACATATGTTAAATATAAGTGTTTATGAGATTTAAATGTCAGATTATTGAAAGTGAACAATAATGGGTGTACCAGTTAGAAACAAAAACTTGTAAAACTAACGAAAAAGAATGAAGAAGTAGTTCTGTTACTGTCTTACACATATATATGAAGAGTTCTCATCAGAACACATAAAGCCTAGTTCACTATTGCATAGATGTACACTCCTTGCTCTAATAACTATTTTTTTTTGTGAAGAACTTATTGCTGTATTAGATATTCTATATTTTTTAAATTTGTTGCCATTGTCATGTTTGTAATTTTTGACTTGCAAACAATATTTCATGCATGATACCTAGGTATGTTTATGATCTAATTCCATGTCTAATTTCACATGCCTAGCTCCTTTGACTTATTAGTAGTAAAGGAAATTATAACTGTGTATGCATTAACCTGTAGTATCACAGTAACAAATCAAAGTGGCATTCACAAAGAAATTAATAGCAGACTATATTGTGGATTTCGTGCTATAATTCAGTTCACAAAAAATTTCTTCTGTCTTTCCAGCCACTCAGGAAATATTAGAAATTAAAAATAAAGGATCCCAGTCATGACTGTGGCCAATGTAACAGGAACTCATACTATGAGAACAAAAGTTCAATCATTTACTTTTCAAGAACACAGGAAAGATATTATAAGATGTGGAAGTCATGTGTCAGTTATAATACCTGATTTATATTACTTTTGTCACACTGAAAGAAAAAAAAAACAAGGGTTTCAGCAATTTACCTGAATCCAGACCAAGCAAAAGCTCCAAGTCCTACAGCAATGGTGAGGCATGTGACAGCACCTGCAGGGGTTAGCAGGAATGCTGCCAGGAGCATGAACACTGTCTGACTGATGAATGCTCCACAGTTGAACAGCTTCCTCACCTGCCATTCCATAGTTCACATAATGGAAGAGACCAAGTGAAAAAGTTCAGACAACTGCTGTATGTTTTTACCCTTTCAAGTTCCTAGAAGCTAAGTTTAAAATTTCTCTGCATTTGAATGACACCTGTGGCAGACACTTATGCAAAAAGTAGCAACAGCCTGTCACTTGATGGTGTTGGCAGTGGGACATGGTGAATGTCAGTTAAGTGATGGCCTTTGCAATGCAAATGTGGACAATATGATTGACTCAGAGATGCAATGCATATCTTTGTCCTTTCCTTGTGTTCAGGAATCATTTTTGCTATTAGGACTCACTTGGTTAAACAGTCATATGTTGATGGATTAAACATAAATGACTTCAAAAAAGTAATTTTGACTGATATATTTTTGTACATTACTATGCCTCAGTTCCATACAGCAAAATTATAAAGCAATGCTAAGGTATGTGTCTATATTTTGTTAACCACAAGCTTATGACTCCCGATTTCACTATAAAGAATTCTGAGGGGCAGTTGTAGGATATATAATATAAAGCTTTCTGTGTTACAGCTAGTGCATCCTGAAGTTAGGTATACCTGGGTGGTGGTGAGAATGCCCTTGGAGCGCAACCAGTCTGCCAGGTGCCCTGCAAACTGCAGCACTATCGCCATCACTAGGTATGGCAATGCAGACATGACCCCAGTCTTCTCCAGCTCAAATTTCAGAGTATCTGCACATCAAATAGATTTTTAAGAAAGAGAGTTCTTTTTTGTCTTTGAAGTCCCTATAATCCATTGATTTCTATCCTGTGTGTCTACTCCTCATGGCTTTCTTCATTTTATTGTATTTCTATACAGATTAGGCCCTGGCATTAAATTAAATTATTTGCCACTCTAACATTCCATTATTTAATACACAATACAGACTCACACTCTAATGGAGTCTTTGAAAATGAGAAACACCATACAGAATTATATATCAGGAATGCTTTATTGTTAGAAAAAATGTTACTGCTCAGAGCAAAAGCTATATGAAGGAAGTATTTAAAAGCTAAATACTTTTGAGGAAATTAAATAGACTCCGGGAAGATATTATGCTTCCTACTTTCATTTAAATCATTTGATTGAATTGAAATATGAATCAAGTTAAATAATATAATAAATATGTTTTAATAATATACTTTAAATTCTTGAAAATTAAGAAAACACACTCTCAAAATTTTGTACTCTTGACATCTTGGTATTTTAAAATTGAAGTACTGATTTATAGTTATTAGATATATATGATTTTATAACCTATGATCATACCAAACTTCACACGCCATTCTACAGTGGTTCATCCATTTTCATCATTGAGTAAAAGAAGTGAATCTTATATTCTTCATGGCTTTTTACACCACTTTTGAAGAGTTATGATGTTTCTGGTGAGGAGTGAGCTCTGAAACTCAAATTTACCACTCTAGTCAGAGAAATGTTTAATTTTTACCATCATGTTCAACTCTTATCTTATTCACAGAAATATTTTTAGATAATTACAAAGAACAGAAATATTAAACTCCCCATACATGTTAATTATAAGTGGTGCCATAATATTTCATGTTACAGTTTATGAGACTTATATCCATTTCACTGGAGCACACTTATGTTGACAGATATTTGAACATCACCTGTTGGGTATCACAGTATCCCATCCACGAAAAGATACTAACACTCAAAAATGTGTCTTGAAACATCCCCATGTGTATGTTGCAGCCTGCACCAAGACACATGTGTTGCCACTTGCATCAAGTTATAATGATACAAACAGACCAACCACAAAACATGCGGAGCCACAATTTATAACATGTAAATATCTGTATTTGTTTCATTTATGAAGGAGTCAACACATGAAACTCTGTTCAGTATCACAGTTACTGGCAAGCAGTAGAGACAATTTGGTGGCAGAAGAACAGGATAACTCTTCTATATTCTATTTAATGTTAATTAAAATTTTACTTAGTTCTTATTATTGATAACAAGATAAATGACGATACCTTTCATGAAGGTTGGTAGTTGAGTGAGAAGTGTGTAGAAGCCCCAGTTCTCACTGAAATGTGCCATCACAATGGACCACACAGGAGGTGATGTCAAGAACTTACCCCATGGGTGCACCACATCCTGAGAAGGCAAAATCATGATTGCCCATACTAGTAGCTCCCAGACACATAACATAGTATTCATTAAGGATGTAAAGAAGTTTGAGAAGTTACTTGTCAGCTTCTCATCACAGTGGTCCTGGATAATGTGCGATTTGCGGTGCACAAAGTGGCACTGGGGCAGATTTTTTCTGAGTATTTCAGTTCTCTCGTCTATTCTCATACCACTCAATTTTGCATTTACTCTTCATCTGTCAACTGGAGCAACTATAATGGGCCATATACAGCCTTAGCACAAAGGGATTCAGTCTCATCCTGGTCTAAGAATAAATAAAATTATAATAAAGGGTCACAAAGAAGTATCAGAAGAATGATTTTCTTCAGAAGGCCTAATGATAAATGTGCTAAAATGCTGGAGTACTGTTTGGTTTGAATTTGAACTGAAAACCTAAATATCACAAAAGAATAGTTATGTAGGAAAAAGAAATTTTTCCAAATTAGCATTACTCTGGTGTCTCTGTTATGTTGGCTGTACATGGTAAAGTCCAATTTTTTTGTAATATGTGAAGTTTGAATAAAACTCTAAAACAATACCAGATGGTGGAAGGCAATTTAAGTGTCCAAAATGTGACAATGAATACCAGAACATGTGATCATTTTAAATTGATTTATTTTAGTGTCTGAGAGACCTGCATGAATTTTCCTTCCATGCCCTGCCACTGAGAGATAAGTTAGCAACTGAAGATTATTCTCTGCTGGGATGTAAAATCTTACAACCTGACACATTTGGCCTCGCCATTTTAGGGGCCACCATTTTCCATTAACTCACTTGCAGACCCCAATTTCCTTTCCTGAGTTCCCTGTGTTCACAGCCTCACTTTCCAACACAACTTATTCTTCTACCCTGAAGATGAAGACAGCAGGTTCCTCCAAAAATGTTGGTACACCTTTTATTGGACTATATTTGGGTATTCTTCCTACAGGCCACATAGCATCACATGCAAGAAGACAGTAATCTTCATCCACACTCACTGCCATGAGAACAGGCAGGCAGTCAGTTACTAGAGCATTAATGCATTAAGAGTCAAAATGTTCCCAGTGTTTAGTCATGCAATGTGGAAGATGAATTACCTTAAGTGAAGTGTTACCCAGTGAATCTTTAATATATTTCAGTTCTTGAGGAGAGATTCCTGAGTCTTCTTCAGGTCCTTCCTTCACAACAGTCCACCAGATGCTGAACCAAATAAGACCTACTGCCCCTGTAGAGGAAATGTTTGACAAACAACATAAAAATTTCTAAGAGGCCACTTTTCAACCCAATAATATGTAAGAAAAGAAATATGGAAAGTCCTTAACAAATAATGACATCATCATCATCATCATCATCATCATCATCATCATCAGTAATCTGTCAAGACGACATGTCCACAGTCTCTTCCAAAACAATTCCTCCACTTAATGCGATCTAGAGCTTTCTCCTTCAAATGACAGTATCCTCTTCTGTCCCCAAAGTCATCCAGCATCTTCTTATGTCTTCTTCCTCATCTTCTTGTCACTTCTATCTGCCCCTCTATCTTTCCTTCGATAACTTCTTTTAGAAGGCAGTTTCTGCGTAAAACATGACCAATCCAATTAGCCTTCCGTTTTCTTATTTCGTGTAGGATATTCCTCTGCTCACTGACACTAAATAACACTTCTTCCTTTCTCACATAATCGGTCCAACTGATCTTCTCCATCCTTCTCCAACACCACATTTCGAAATAATGACAGTCATACCAAATTACAGGATTGAAGGTTAATCATAAATTCACAAATACAGACCACCAACAATTATGCTGTGATTTTCCATAGCTCAGTTACAGAAGTGACTACCAACCAAAATGAATATCCAGAGGTCAGCTCTTTTAATTCTTGGAAGGGTCGTTTATATTGCAGATTTCCATTACAGTAATACATAATGTCTCTGAAGATAATCCAACATTATCAGATTTCCTGGGTGCATTCAATCCTGGACATACCCTAAAATGATCTCTTGGGATGTGATGCTGTGTAGTTTGGTAGATATGTACCTATATACTAAAATGTGCATCATCACATCTAGAAGACTACAATTTCATATTCATCAGTATTTGTCTACCAAACTATGTGTAGTCACATCTCAGAAAACTGTGTCTTCTTTCTAAACTATACTCATATAGAAATCTACAACACATCATATACCTAAAGACCATAATCTTCATAGTCACTGCTGTCAGGACCTGAAATATCCAAGAATTTTTAATCTGTATTGTTTAGAACTAGCCAGTGAGTGACAGACCACCCCTCCCCCAAAATCTGTGTGGAACAGGGGATGTTAAGCACTCAACAGGATTCATTTGTAATAATAAAACATCTATGCTCCTGGCTGGATTCAAAACCTGCATTCCTACAGTTCACTCAGGTTTAAATCACGAGATCACTGGGACTGGTAACTTTACATTTTAGTTAACTAGAAAGCAATGACTGACAGTGTTGTGTAGTCAACTCTGCTAAATCAACAGATTTTAGATTGTGTTTTTCTCCTCTGTTAACTACTAAATACAGTTCCCTTTGTCTGTCATTTATTACACTGAAACTTAAGCCCACACCAAGTAATAATAGCACCGCTGAGTGTTCCACACAATAAACTTTCATAATTTACAGTTGCAATTATAAATAGTGATCTTTACCAAACACATAGAAGATATAAGGCCACCCAAACTGTTCTGCTAAGTACCCTGAGATGGGTAGAGATACCACTGTACCCACATAACTTCCAGAGAACGCTAGTGTGGCCAGGCGGCTGCGTTCTATTGGTGGTGCCCATTGTGCCCATACTGCATGTATACAGGGATATGTAACACCCTAGAAGAAGAAGAAGAATTGTGATTGCAAATTTAAAGTACACTTATACTCAAAATTCTAATTGTAACCTGAGATACACTTCAGAGAGTTCTTCACTAGTATCCAACTGTCAAAGCTATTATTCATATCCTGAGATTTATCAAATGCTTCTGGTATCATAATACAGTATTAGAATTTAGTAATGTTTGTTACTTATATAAAAGGCCATGCTTGTATTAAATAACCCATAAGAGACTCTGTTGAAAGGATGATAGTAACTCAAGAGGCCCAGAGAATTGTCATAATTATGGAATGTGTAGGTTCTGTACTATGTTAAAAAAACACCATTTCACTTTCTCCTGAAACAATTGAATCCAATTCACACACTCACATGCTATTCCTCTAATATATCATAATATTTTCTATAATATATTCTATACTTAGGTCTCCCAAGTGATCTCTTCCCTTCATGTTTTCTGACTTCTACTATGCATATTACATAACCTGCCACTCTTATCCTCCTTGATTTGGATCAACCTAGATCAGCTTGGCGAAGCATCAGATTATTGGGATGTTAATTTCTGCCCCAGAATTTTGCTGGTTATCTATAGTAAGGAAAGTTTTTTTAAGTACAATTCATAAGCTCTTTATTATGCAGTTTTTTATCATCTTGCTGCATACTCCCTTAGGTTCAACATATAACAAATATGAAATTATAGTTTTGTGGGTGTAAAATACTGGACCAAAGTGTGTTGGCATGAAAAACAGGTTATACCTTGTCCAAGGGTAGAAAATATGGATGTAAAATCCTGGAAGCACTCTAATCTTGTGGGTGGTTGGGGGGGCGTCAGATAGTATGAAATTAAAACACGTTGATTCAAGTGGTAAAGCTTATGATTCATATTTGAGAAGTTCCCTGTTTGACTCTTGGCCAGCACACCTAATGTCCTAACTTATATCTTTCATGGTTTTCCTCAGCCTCTCAAGGCAAGTGCCAAGTAAGTAATCTCAAATTAGGTAATGACTACTTCATTCCAGGGCCCTTCCAAATCATTTATCTCTAACCATTCAATCATTCAGTGCTATTTAGTTTTGAGCTATTCACAGAATCATTAAATAAAGCACAAAATAAATAAATTCATGTGACATTTGAGACTGTCATGGCGATAAGTATTATGAATATCTGTGCTGCAACACCATGTATTTGGTAGATAGTTACAAATATTTCAGAGGAACTTGCAGCATATATATTCATGGCAGACACTAAAATCAACTACAGGTGATTCATATAGAACCGGCCTGACGAAATGAGGTGTAATATAAAATATACCATACAGATATTAAAGTAATTTACACATATCTAATCTTGGATTGTGTGCTGTGATCAGGGCAGGTGTTGAAAGTGTCCGCCGTTTTCAAGCAGGCATTAGAAACACTCGCTGTTCAACAGCCCACTGCAGACATGTGTTGGCATTGTCCTTGGCCTTGCAGCATAAGAGCTGCCACTTGCCGGATCATGCACACACCATTCGACTCAGCACAGCCCACGGATTATTATGTCGTAATTGTGAGCGGTTATATGCATCACCTGCGGAATTATTAGCAAATTCTTCGGGCTGGTTCTATACGATTCACCCTGTATATGATATCACATAACAGAAGACATTAATCTAAATAAATTCATGTTTCGTATTGCAACATAAAATACTGATTACATGATAATTGTAAGTTAAACAATGGCTAGAATCTTCCTGAGCTTTATACTTTCAACCTCCATGCCAATATCTGGCTACTATTTGAGATTCTACCATGACTTACAATGTATGTTCTCAAACCTGAATTCAATTCCAGAACACAATTTTACCATGGGAATTTAGTTGTATACTTATGGCATGTCAGTTATTTTGCTTGTAATTTTGTTATGAGTTAATTTGGCTCACCTCAAAAATTCCTTCCACTATTCTGACAGCCAAAAGTAGATAAACACTGACATAAGTGAGAGGAGGTGTCAGCAAAGTGAGGAATGCCGTAACGGCTATCCCTATACCAAAGACCCTGTTACCTCCAACCCGAGCAGCCAGCCATCCACCTGGGATCTGTGTTATAATGTAGCCATAGAAGAATGAACTAAGGAGCAGGCCCTTCATCTTGGAATCCCACTCAAAGTCTCTGGTCTGCAAAACAGGGAGAAATTTTAAGTTAAAACGTATAGAAAAAAATAAAACTGGGATAAAAAATAAAAAAGAAAAAATATATTTAGAGCTTATAAAATTGTTTACAGATATTTCAAGGCATAAGGCTACAGTGCCTGAAACATACATAACATTTTATATGAATCATTTGCTGAAAAGGAATGGAAACCTCAAGCTAAACGTGCACCAAGCCAAATGATCTAAGTTAGATGTGATCAGACACTAATATGCAAGCCACGTGTGGCTCTCTTGAACCATTAGTGCAGCCTGTGGGAAAAATATTAGTCATTTCGCAGTTTAGATAGACAGAAAGACATACAATATCTGAAACAACAGTTTTATGAATTGGTGTGTGTGTGTGGGAGGGGGCTGAAAACTTGCAAATCTATCAAAATCTTGACCTTCATTTTTTCACCATCATAATATGATTTTGGAGGCACGCAGTAGTATAGTTGGTTGAGGCACTATGCAACCAGTGAGCAGGTTGCGGGTTCAATTTCTGAAGAGGTCACTGGAATTTCCAATTCACTTACTCCTTCCAGCCACATTATGGCCCTGGGGTTGACTAAGCCTCTAACAGAAGAATTTTCCCTGGGGTTAAAGGGCGGCCAGTGTGTAAAACTGACAACCTCAAAACCTTCTGTGTGCTGATTGTCTAGAAAATTTGGGAGCCTCAACGTCTCACAACACTATGGACCTCCACAGCCTGTTACAGGGAGAGCTTTATCTTTTTTAACATGACTTCATATGTACTAATTACATGAAAAAGTAAAATAATTATGAATTAATTGGGGCTTTGTTTCCTATACTCACAATACATATATAACATCCAGTATTTAAAAGAATACAAGAATACATGATTCAGAGAGCTCTTCCAACCAAGCATTTCTTTTTTGTGCAATTGATGAACGGTATGAATAGAGAGACAATTCACTGGCAGATTCACCTATGGCAGGATTAGTACTACCTGTATCCATAGTGTGCAGTGATCTATTTATGCATTTTATAACCATAATTTCATTTAGCATCATTACAATTTTGTCCTATACAAAAATAATAAATATGGTAGAGCCTGTAGCTATCAATGTATTTAAGCTTTCGTGTTAGCTATAAATACACTGACTCACAATTATCATGGTGCCGTTGTTCAATGTTATGTTCCTTCTGGCTGTCATTGCAACAATGGCAACGCTGAGGTTCACACGAAGTGCATACACATTGAAGAAGCCAAGAAAGGCTAGGAATGCAACAACATATCGCCTGCGGCGCCAGAATTGCCAGGATGCACCCAATGTATCACCATCACTACTGCAACAAAATAAATTCCAGTTTGCAATCAGCCAATTACCTTTGAAGGAGGGCTATGATATTACATTACGTACATTGCATTGCATTCCATGGATCCAAAGTTAGTCAAAATGACTGTAAGATGTGGAATATGTCAAATAAATACAAAACATATGTACAGTCCCAATGCAGTTCTCACACAAGAGAAACCAAGAATACACAGTGATTACACACAAGGCTATTTAAAGATACATAATTTATTTTCTAGACAACAGGTATTCATCAGCAGAGTGGAATGAATGTGTATTTAAGTATTGTTTCAGTGCTATTTTAAATCGTGCCTCTTCATTCATAAGACCTTTAAGATCAGATGGCAGGTTATTAAAAATGTTGATCCCAGCATACTATTATGTGCTTTTCTGAAAGCATCAGGTGTTAACAATTGGTTTATAAAGATCTGATCTATACTCAGGAAGTGAATTATTTGAATCTGGGCTGAAATACTGACTGTCTCATGGAATTAAGCCACAACTGCTTCTACCACATCCCTTTCAAGTCATTATTTACTTCATGTACAATCTGATGCTTATAGCCTGGGTACATCAGATGGTAATTAAATGACAGACAAATAAACATCTTAATGTAGAATGACATGAGTTCGGCAGAACAATTGTTTGACCAGCAAGTTGTGTAGTGGTAGCACTCTCGTTTTCAGAAAGTATTTGCTTCAAATCTGGGTTGGGCTACCCATTATCCTGACTGAAAATTAATATTATTTTTTCTGTTCCTCTAGTAAAATAGTTCTCGAAAATTTTGTTTGTGGTAGTCCGTGAAGAACCTGAACAACTGCCAGATCCATAAGGAGAGAAAGACTTTGAGAATGAACAGATTAATATTTTATATTCTTACTTGTGTAAATGAAATATGGTCACCTTTATATCTGTTGTAAGTACAAACTTATTCAGAACAAATTTAAAATAGAAATAACACTTGATGATGAGAGTATTCAATGAGAATGTTGCGCATACCACTGGCAAGCTACTTTGGTACGCAAGACATACCACACTTCCAGAAATATTATCATAGGCAAATATCAGAAAAATACCTTCAAATATTCTTCATAATCCTTATCTCTTTATTCCTTGCCATCTTTTCATTCAGTTTCTTTTATAACCAAAGTTGAATCGGAACTGTTAAATAATGTAACAATCAATTCTTAGGGAAGATAAGAATTTCTTATTTTGTCACCACATCCATAGGATTGTAGTGTGCACCTAGTCTTGAGCTATTTCCCCAGGTGGAGGATGACCATCCACCTGTGTATGTAATAAACAGATAACCAACAACATTCTGCAAGCCAATCTAGTGTTGTACACTGATGTGTACTGATTATCAAATTTTCTGTTCTTACCAAGATAAGCCCCTCCACAGCCAGGAAGGAACAGAAAAGTACAGTCTTCTGAGCCGTAATATCATGTGGTTCAGAGACAGCCTGGCGTTTTGGAGGAACATACCGCCTCCATCTTCAGGGTTTAAGAATGAGCCCAACAAGAAACCAGAGAAAGCAAGCCCTTTGCTTCTGCTGGTTTCTTGCTTGGCATACTCTTTGACACTGAGGATGGAATCAATTAGTTCCTCCTGAGACGTTAGGCTGCTTCTGAACCACATGACGTTGCAAGTCAGAAGACTGTAAAAAGTAAAAGTAAAGGTATCCCTGTAACAGGCCGTGGAGGCCCATAGGGTTGTGAGGTTTTGAGGTTCCCACGATTTCTAGACAATCGGCTCAAAGATGGCAACAAGGTCATCAGCCTTACGCGCCGGCCACCCTCCAAGAATATTCCAAGAATAATCCTGCTATTCCGCTGCATAAACATTGGTGTGAGACCCTCAGATCCAACAGGAAGTAACGGGTTTGTTTCCCAAGGCTGAGCCCTACCAGTGCTTGGGTGTGGTCCAGTAGCAGTCTGATTCTGTGGATTTTATCACAGCCCAGATTTCATTAAGATCTACAGACCAGTGAAATTGTGTGCTTCCCCATATTTCATTCTCATCCTGCCTTCCTCAGAGGATTCTTGCATTTCATCTGATTTTCAGATAAACGACGATTATTTTCTAGACATGAACGCAGGTGGAGATTTGGAGGGAGCCATTTCCTGCCTACCCCAGTTGGATTAAAAGAAACCAAAATAAAAAGGACATACTTCTATACCAAACATTAATACAAATACTTAAAACATTTGAAAAATATTCTTGTATCCTGCATACCCTAGGATAATCTATAAAAATAGTTTTAAATGGCTTAAATGTGCGTTTGTAAACAAATTTTCTGCCCCCCCCCCCCCGAATGAAAATCAGGCAGAGCTCGTGGATCAAAATAATGAAACTGGTTTATGTTTACTTGGAGATGGGAAGTCACTTCTTCAATATTTTTTGATGTTGAACTGCAGTGCAGTTCGGTGCACCGAACCGCAAACAAACGGTGCTAATATCGTTAGAATGTTTTACGTTTCATGAAATAATGTTGAAGTACTGAAGGATGTAGGGAAAAAATGCAAAATAACTTTTTCTGTGTTTTTAGAGAAACAAATATCTCGATAGAATCTGTGGATTATATTTCAGTATTGTGGTGACCCCGGTGTGATCGCCCCGGTCACTCCCCCTTAAATTCGGCTTAGATCTAAACACTGCAGTAACCTTATGATAGAAGTTTGTTCTCAGGTTGGGCCGCGCCATAGCTCAAGCGGTTAGTAGCTGGCTTCCCACCACGGCGGCCCGGGTTCGATCCCGGGTCTGGTCAAGTGGGATTTGTGGTGGACAAAGTGGCGCTGAGGCAGGCTTTCTCCGAGTACTTCGGTTTCCCCTGCCAATCCTCATTCCACCCATTGCTCCACAATCACCCTCACCTATCATCTGGGGCCGGTACAATAGGCCAGAAGTGACCCCAGTACAAGGTACTTAGTCCCACCCCACTAGCATTAAAAAAATTGTTCTCAGGTTCTACCAAAATTTACGTATTAAAGGCCCCACAAAAGAATTAATTAATGATTCTAACTTAACTGGCCCTCAAAATGAGCCAAATTAAACTGACATAAGCATGATTAGACAAAATGTGCAGATCCATCATTCCAAGTTTAATCGAAATCCACCAGATAGTTTTGACAGCTGCTGCGGACAGACGGATGGACATAGTACTTTCGAATTTTCCGAACGGCACCTAAAATTTTGCGTATGCTTGACAATTTAATGAATGACAAATTCAGTAGAAAAAAAGCGATGGTTCGGTGTTCCTAAGAATTTTGCCGAAAAAATGGCCAAGACGAAACATACCTATTTAAGTCATATTCGACTCCGTTTTCGTTTCGTACAGGTGGTGACATCTGGTGAGCAGAAGGTGAACTGACAGTCACTGATGTATCAGACAAAACCTGTCGGCAGAAAGATTATGCTTACAAGTAATGTTGAGTTGTTCCTCTGCTTAATTAAGCAAACAGAGTTGTATTTAACAAGTAGCGTGAACGGGGCGTGAAGCTAGTTACTCACCTTCATCCATTCCCGAGGTTAAGAATGCGTGGAGCTATATCTCCACCCTCTCATACGTTTGCATGGCGTAGTGAATAACTAAGCACAGGGACAATTATATTTATTTCTTCCGTCTACAACATATAAATATATACACAATTTTTGAGGTTAAGAACGTGTGGAGCTATGCCTCCACTTCCCCTCGTATCTTTGTGCTTAATTAGGCGCAGGGACAAACAAATTATTTATTTTAGCCTCTGACTTATCAATAACGAAATAAAACTCTCTTACACGTTTTTTAAGCTAACAGATGATGTTACAAATTTCTGTTACTCCACATGAGCATTGCTTTCCGTTCTTGTCTCCGACTTGGCGCGTAGGGGATACAAAACGCAGAGAATAAAGCAAAGTACGAGATTTGACGTTTTCATGGGGTTACTATGAAGAACCGGGATAGCTCAGCGACGGGCTGGACGGCCGATATTTGATTTTCTGTGGAGGCAAGAGATTTGTCTCTTCTCCACAGCGTCCGGGCCGGCTCTTGGGTCCACGCAGCCTCCTGTGCAATGGATACCGGACCGGAAGGGGCGTGAAGCTGACAACTCACCTCCATCTAGTGCTGAGGTCAAGAACAGTGGAGCTACGAGTACAGTTGCACTCCCACATACGTTTTCACTGTGTAACGCTTAATTAATTAATCACAGGAACATCTTCACCTACGGAGAATAGATTATCATCTTCGTGAAAGTGAAGCTGTAAATCGAAGATGGAGACCGCATGTTTTTTTCCCCGAAACGTCGGTTACGAAATACCGGACTACATGGCGTTGTATCCCAGAAGACAGTGATCTTTAAGAAGGTAAAGAATTGCTATTGTGCTTCAACCTGTGCTACTTTTATGGATTATGAGTGACATCCTAACTCCGTCTGCCACTTAGTGAACACCACCACGTGCCATGTACTTAACTGCATGCACTATTCTACCATATTGGAGAGACTGATCAGTCGGACTTACTTCACAGAGCCCATCCAACTTCACCCACCAAGACCACAGACAGTTCATTCACTCGATGCTCACCGCTTGTTTCGTTTTCACTTCAGTCACAGCGCATACATCATTGCGCAGCGCGAATTATTTATGTACATTGGATCTCGTTTTTATTTTCTAAAGGCTGTCTAACAGTTCCTGGTACGGAATGTATCTGTGGATTCAAGGCTGACCACTTACCCCAACTTCTGCTGCTAAAGCTGACGTTCACACAGCAGTGATCATGTAAAGCACTGCCTTCACGAATGCGACGCAGTGTAATATGGTGGAATAATATTATACTGCAGAATCCTCTTGCACTGAACAAACAAACAAACTCCGTGGCTTCTAGTCCGCAAGCGAACTATACCGACCGAGGGATCGGCGCTTGTCGGCGAAGTTAGTGCCAACTTTAGCGGATAGCAACTTTAACGGATCCCCACGTCCGTTAATCTCGGTTTTCTACACCGGAGCATCTGTCTCCTTGAAATAGCTCCTCAATTATCCTCACGAGGCTGAGTTAACCCCGTTCCAGACCCAATATTTCTCAGAAAATCTAGTAGCGCCGGGAATCGAACCCGAAGCCTCTGGATCTGTAGCCAGGAACTCTGACCTCTAGACCACAGAGGCGGTCTCCTGTTGCATTGTGTATTCTAAATTAGCAATCGGCCTATTGACTGTCCCTGTGCAAATTCGTCGATATATAAAATTCACACTTCAAAAGTATTTGTCTCTTCCTATTATTCGAACACAACATGTTTCGGTCCAACTGGCTGCCATCATCAGGTGTATAAGTTGTAGAAAAAACTGCTGCCCAGTTGTCACACTGCTACACTTTGCATTTTAAGGGTGTAAAATATTTATACAATTGTTCTATCACTGTAGTTGTAATGCTACTTATATTTTGTTGGTGCGTTGGGTTTTCTTTGGCGCTGTGTCTGGCTGTTCGGAATGTTCGTGCAGTTGGTTCTGCGTTTATACAGGAGTGTGTCGCTAACTGGCGTTCATTTCCTGCAATGCTCTGAATATACGGTTTATGTGTTTTGCAGGTGTAAGTTAGTTTTACTGATTTTGTATATGTGGCATTTTTAACGTGTTTAAGTGTTTACCTTTTCTGTGTTCTTACAACGTCCATTAGATCTGTTATGGTCTCGTATGTATGTCCCCTGTTTAATATGCGTCTTGAGTTTCTCGAATTACTATTATTACACGTATTCCTAATTGCTTGTGTACGTTCTCTGTAAATGGCGTGGAATATTCTGCCGTTTGCCCAGTGTATTTCAGTAAGCGGTCCAGGCACTTAATTTTGTGGACGCCAATTCTGTTGTATTTGCCTGTTCGTGGGTGATGTATTACTGTGTTTTGTATTGTGTTCTGCGTTCTGGATGTTATTTTTTAAAATTCGTATCCTTGAACAGTTCTGTAATCTTCCTTGTCTCTTTATTGCTGTTTGTAAAAGTTATAAGAATCCCATGTTTGGTGGATATTCGTTTTTGGTCCCAGCCAAAGCCCAACATAAATAATGTGATGTGTTCCCTAATGGTTTAAGTTTACCGACGTTTCAGAAGTACTGCCTCCATCCTCAGGGTCGAAAAATTGGCCAAGTAAGCAGAGTTTAGCCACGGCTCTGCCTGCCTGGTTTCTCTTCGAACTTGGAGGTAAAACTTTTATCCAGAAACGTCGGTGAAGCTCTACCAGACTAAACGAGTCGCATCGTCTAATATCCTTGAATAGGTTTTAGCTGCAGTATACAAGGTTTTATTCAGTATCTTAATACCAAGTCCTCGCGTAAATCCAGTGTCACGAACAGTGTAAGCCAGCTTAGACACATAGTGAAGTTGATAAAGCTATGACCTCTGACACTTTACAGCACTGGGGTCACTAAATACACAACCTGCTTTAAAATTTAGAAACTCCGCATTCTGCCTACAGAGTGTATTTGTGTGTGCCGTCAGTTCCCACAAGAGACAGCAACGGAAAGGCAGCGTGCTCTCTGGGAGATGAGCATTGAATGCTTATGTATTGTTTACACGTAACACACACGGTTTTCCTTGGTTTTTGTTTGCCTTCAGGAAATGCTGAGGTGGTTCCCAAGTTCCACTTTCCTACCACGGGTTTCTCATGCAGCCCGCCCATTTCAAATACCAGCAAATCAGACCCCTATGTTGCAAATAACTTTTCTAAATTATGTAATTCGACATCAATTAAACTCCCGTTGCCCGTTTACAACAATCCTAACGTCATTTACATATTACTTTTAGCAGGACGACCAGGTGAAGCCTGGAAACGTTCTAAAAATTATGCTCCCCCCCCCCCACACACTTGTTCCACGCCTTTCACTTTCACTTTCACTTTCACATACTCTCTACTACAACTTACTTATCGCTTCCTTTCCAATACCTCGAAGGACAATCACTGAGCGGGACCACATCGACAGCCCGTATCGTAAGCCGACAACTTCCTTGACAGCGGACGACAATATGGAAACAAACGTCATAGTTAGTTAGTTAGTTATTTAGAGAGGGTGGGTTTCCCCATGCACCGCGACCAGTTTGATCTATTGTGCTTCCCTCTATGATATTGTACCAGTCTCTCTACCCTACCGATAAATGGTGCGTACTATCAGTCCCGCCGAGCAAGCGAGTTCGGCCACTTGCTTAACGGTATCTATAATGCTTCCCCCATCTATCAGAGGCCTTAGAGACTATTGTTGGGCGGGAAACGTCCTGGAATTTGGCTCAGTGATCCCCTTTGTGGATATGAGGTTCTTTTACGTGCCGTAAAGTTACGGCACTGGACACACAGCTTAAAGTCCCTCCCGGAGGATTTGTTCCCTGAACTTTTCCGCCCTTAAAAATTCGACGACCTCCGCCGGGTATTTGAACCTGTGTACCACGAGTCATGAGGTGGGAACGTTACCTCTAGACTACGGAGGCCGCTTAACAAATGTAATAACAATGTATTGTTGTACTTTTAATGGGATAAAATATTCAGTTGCAAATGTACTGTTAAGCTTCACCTGTTATTCAGATTTCAATAAACATACTTTTTTCTTTTTTTTCCAGAATGCTGGAAGGAATTTGGTGTGCATCCGGAACGCCATGCTGTTCACCATCTCGATATGGGTTTTCGTGTTTTTCCTCCGTATTCACGCAAATGATGAGTTGGTTCCCAAGTTCTAAGTTGATACTGCGTGCTTCTCATGGCAACCTTCCCGATTTAAACTAATCAAAATTAAACCGTTTTGCTGAAAAGGTCACGATTTTTTCCCCCCAAATTTAGCAATTCACCATTAACTCCGAAAATCAAAATTCCGTGACCATCGTCCCAAGCTGCTTTCAACCATTCTAACGCCTTTACCTTCACACTAACCGTATCAGGGCCAGAGTGCGAAGTGTAGTGATCTTCTTACATCCCCAAAATGGCGTCCCTCATATTTTCAACAACTTGCAATCTATATCCCTACTGAACGGACAAAATACATCGTAAGATAAGGCACAGGCAAAACAATTAATGTCAACACTATACTACACCGATACCACGGGCCTCCAAGCAATTTATTACATGTATACAAGTCTAGAATGTACCATTATGTCCGCGGGAATATAAAAAATTTCAACTGACTTGATGATATGAATATCACATGAAGAGTTTTTAACCTTATTTTACGCCATAACTTTCGTTTTGTAATAAGTTCATTGTATTTTATGCCATTTATTTTATAATGCGATAATTATCAAGTGTCCAGCTTTACCAACGCAATTGCAGTTCAGTAGTGTGAATATGGTAATCATGTGTTTGCCTGATGATGGCCTTAATAGCTAAAACATGTAGCTCAGCTGATTTTAGCCGGTCACGGTAGCCGAGCGGTCTAAGGCGTGCACTGTCTTCGCTCGCTCGGAAGCCTGGATTGTGGGTTCGAATCCCACTCAGGGCATGGATGTTTGTGTACAGGTAGAAGCCTTGCGACGAGCTGACCACCCGCCCAAGGAGTCCTACCGTATGTCTAAGATCAGGAAAAACCGAAGTGAACGGAGAAGTTCATGGAGGTAGGCCTAGGCTCACTGGGGCTGTAGTGTCAAGGAAAAAAACAAACTAATTTTAGCCTTGATCATTGTATTGTTGTGTTGCGACGGACTCTAATAAAGAATTGTTCAACAACTTTCCCTTTCACAAACTCTTCCGTAATTTTTTCTTAAGCCTCTTTCACCTTCACGGTCGAAAGGGCTCAGAAAAGCGGGACGCAATAAACGTTTCTATGGTATCGTGGCATCTGTTGGCCTGTGGGAAACCCGTCAGTCCGTCAGTTCTACCTGCAGGACCGTAGCACGCGACGTGTGTGACTCAGCATTATAGGCTGGAAGACCGTGATTGTGGCATGAAGCCTGACGGTGTATGGGGAAGGAAAGGGACGGGGCAAACTGTGAAAGTAGCACGTGACAGGCGGAACGCACGCGTATGACGATACCGGCAGGCCAATCGTTCAATTGGTGCTGCTCTCTCGTGTTCATCAGTACTGTTTCGCGTTGTGTGATTTTGTAGCTTGTGCTATGGCGACATGGTCGAAGGACTTTTTACTTCAATTTATTGAAGAATTTCGTGGTCATCCTTCTATTTGGAAGGTCAAGAGTAAAGAATACCACAACCGTGAGATGAAAGAGAGTGCTTACTTAGCACTGACGGAAAAAATCAAAACAATTGATCCCCAAGCTAACAAGAAAACTGTGTTGAAAAAGATCAACAATCTACGTAGCAGTTTCAGAAAGGAATGGAAGAAAGTATTGATGGCTAAGAAATCTGGAATGAGTAGCGAAGACCTCTATGTCCCGAAATTGTGGTACTACAAAGATTTGTTGTTCCTGGTAGACGAAGAAGAGGCCTTGGACGGGTTTTTTGTTAGTGATACGGAGGTAAGTGGTGTAATTAAAAATCAAACTTTTATTGCATGTTCACAATTATAGATTACAATGATAAACACTAAATATTTCTGTGTATGTTAAAGTTTTTTACTACCAAGTGTACGGAATCAGAGCCTTCTGCCTGGATGTACTGTTTTTATAAACAGAACTTATCTTGCCATGGAACTTTTCTCTCGTTGTTGAAATACTCCAAAAACAAC